ATGTTAACTAGATAGATCTGGAAAGTTGCAGGCTGTTTCTCATGGGTGTTTAATTTTTAATACTTTATGTTCATTCCAGCCGGAAGACATTGATTTACCTGGTTTTGACACTCTATCACTTGTATCCGGACTATGACTTCAGGTATCCCTGTATCTTGTACTGTATTAAACATCTTGTGTTTCATGGAGGCCTGAACAAGAGGATTATGGGTAATGCCACTGTCAGCTTATTGGGCGACATGGCAACCCACTTTATAATCCTGTTCTGTTTGCATTGGGAGTGTTGTCAAGAGGTTTGACAGACAGTTTGAACTGTCGCTCTACATGGAGCTGAGAGTTCAAGTCTCTCCATTTCCCAAGTCTCAAATGTTGAACATTTATGTGGTGGATTTTGTTTTTGATTCTGCTCCTTATCACTATGGATTGTATTGAACTCTGATGCTTTTACGTGGATTTTTAAAAATAGTATCTTTGTATTGTGGTATTGCCTACATCTTTGCGGTTTTCCAGTGCAGTAAATGCCCACCAGTTCTTCACAGAGGAAAGCTGGGACAGTTTTAAGCAAATGTTCGATACCTATATGTTTGAAGCATCAAAGGTATTGCTATGCTAACAATTGTGCTTGCATTGTTGTGTTGGTAATGAACGATAGAATACCATGTCACCTACTTGCATTTTCTCGTTTTGCACAAAGGTAACTTTGTCTGACTGATGTGTCGATTGGTTCCTACTTGATAATAACTTGTGTTGATACTCTTTGATACCTTGACTTGTTTCGGACATTTCATGAATGCACAGTATTTCATTGTTTGTTGCATTAGCTGAAGAGTTGGTTTCTAATTTCTCTCGCTTTCGGTTCTATTGGTGACTAGATGCTGAGTCTTGTGCATTGTCATTTGTCATGACATTTAGTTTTTATAGAATACTGAAGGCTTTATTATGCCGAAGACTTTGTTGATCATTTTCTCTGGTTTCTTGGGACCATTGAATTCAGGAATGGACAGAGACCAATGAGGGCAGTTCCTTGCTGGAAGCTTTGTACAAGGCTTTGGATGAGGTAAGCATATTTTCAAAAGAAGTTGGAATGCAAACTGTTCCAGGAGGCAATTGTCTGATGCATTGTACTGCAGGTCGTTAGATTAGCAGAATGTGAAGTTTACAGTTACATTCCCGACTCTGATGCTGATCCGTTTCTTGAGAGAGGAGCTGTGTGAGTTATCCTGTTGGTTGCTTGAGAAATTTACACATGCTGCACATATCATGATGTTGATGTATCATCATCACTCTAACCACTTACGTTGACATCGTGCTTTGTTTGTTTCCTTCAGATGGTCATTCAACTTCTTTTTCTATAATAGAAAACTTAAACGTGTTGTGAGTTTCCGTCTCAGCTGTGAAAGGTGGGTCACAGTCATATTAAAATTTAACAATGTTCCCAAAAATTACCAATTGGATAAGGGGTTTTATGTTTTACTCGCTGTTTTTGGCAGTAACTTGGTGGCTGATGGGCTGTGCTATGAGGAAGATGGCGAAATTTTTGATGGCATGGACATTTGAGCGCAATCTGCTGCTGGTCCGTTGGTTAATATGTCAAAGATACTTGACAACCTTTATGTAGTTATGTAAAAGCTTTAGGGCCCATACTCGGAGGCGTGAGAATTAGGTTTAGCTGTTTCTCGCCAACATGGATGTTGTTGTAACTTGTATCGTATGTGCGTAAGACTAATGCTATTTGTAAATCTGTGTCAAATTCAATAAATTGAATGTCAGGCTTGTGTGTACAATGCCATATCGGACAACTCGTGTACAAGATATTCCTTCTGTAAACCGGTTTATCTGTAATATAACTATGTTCGCTTAAATGCTTTTGTCAGAAACTAACTGCTATTTCTAAGTTGAGCAGCTCTCTAAAAGAAACAGGTAAATTTTTTTTTTATTTGGGATAAAAATGCAACAGAATTTTATTAGATCAATAAGAATAAAGAGTACAAAGGACATATACAATAACAATATAACATATATGGGTATAACTTTTCCAACTCTGAAAAGCTAAAAGGATCTGTAGAGAATTACTCTCGAAAATAACTTTTCTATTACTCCTTTTAGTCGAAAATAAACAGGTAACCTAAGTTGGCAGATTTTGTGGTTGTTTCTTTCTTTAATTGTATTTGTTTTAATCTCCTGCATGTCAATGAGCTGCTTAAGCAGCATAGATTGAGTTTGCACACAACTCCTGTTTTTGGATGGCAACAACACTTCATTTTTTGTAA